GTCGCGCAGAAAGAGTAGTGGTGATAGTGTAAGTAGCAACAGTTGTAGAAAGAGTAGTGGTGATAGTGTAAGTAGCAACAGTTGTAGGAACAGTAGTGGTGATAGTGTAAGTAGCAACAGTCGCAAGAACAGTAGTGGTGATAGTGTAAGTAGCAGCAGTTGTAGGAACAATGGTGGAAGTATCAGTAGCAGCAGAGTTTGTTTCATCGGATGACCCCCCTATTCACCTAGTAGTAAATAGTTACCTGGGAGCTAGACAGCTGCCACGGGCTGCATCATGGGTGTGTACTCACCTAGTTGTGCTTGCGGGGGTTGTGCTCTGGCTTTTTGGTCCCGCCACTCAACTGTCAATCAACTGGTGTACAAGTACCTGAGCCTATTGGGCTCTATCATATCTACACTTACTGGCAGGCATCACGCACACACACACACTCTACAGTCAGGTGACACAAATGATCCAGATGGTATTTCTCGTGGCAGGCCAAGTGCGACACGGAGTGGAAGTTCGCGAGGTCCAGGTTATGGATGAGTTACTTCGAGGAGGGCGGGGACCTCCCACCGCCCTTCAACCTTCTCCCGAACTTCGGCGCCATTCTCACCCGCAATAAGAAGGATCACAGAGCCTCCTTCAAGTACCGGCAGGACACCTTGAGAGATTCTCAGTACCAGGTAGGAACATCTTGGGGGGAGAGAGAGAGAGAGAGAGAGAGAGAGAGAGAGAGAGAGAGAGAGAGAGAGAGAGAGAGAGAGAGAGAGAGAGAGAGAGAGAGAGAGAGAGAGAACAGACAGAACAGACAGACAGACAGACAGACAGACAGACAGTCAGCCAGCCAGCCAGCCAGCCAGCCAGCCAGCCAGCCAGTCAGTCAGTCAGTCAGTCAGTCAGTCAGTCAGTCAGTCAGACGTTGGGGGGGGGGGGGATAAAATGTATGTGTTTTGTATCTATTATTATTAATCAGCACGTGAATACATCTGGTGAGATTTTGTATGAAATAATTAAGACAAATATTTTGCCCCATAAAAAAATCCTAAAACAAATTGCGTTAGTTTTTTGTGCCAATTATTAATTTAAATATAAATTTCACAAGATGTACTTTTTGTATGTTTAACGATAATGGGTTAAAAAGCTATAAATTCTATAAATTAGAGTTGCATTCTTGGATAAAAGTGCTTGATATAAACACGTACTATATAAACACTTATATAAACACATGCTGAATAAACACCTGTTATGTAAACACTTGTATAAACACGTGCTATATAAACACTTATTTAAACACATGGTTTATAAACACTTATATAAATACATGCTGTATAAACTGAACATATGGGAACAAAAAAGTTATGTTCTAGACATGAAAAGTGATACCTTACCTACTTCATGTAAAATAGAGTGCGCGTGTTGAAGTCGGTGTGAGAGTTGAGGTGGACGAGAGATGGAGATGGGGTGAGTGTGTGTGTGTGTGTCACTCAATTGTGCTTGCGGGGGTTGAGCTCTGGCTCTTTGGTCCTTCCTCTTAACTGTCAATCAACTGGTGTATAGATTCCTGAGCTTACTGGACTCTGTCATATCTACTTTTGAAACTGTGTATGGAGTCAGCCTCCACCACATCACTGCCTAATGCATTCCACCTGTTAACTACTCTGACACTAAGAGCGAGTGTGTGTGTGAGTGCGAGTGTGTTTGAGAGCGAGCGAGTGTGTCAACAAGTGTGTTAATGAGTGCGCCAGCTGTAGGAATAACTTGTACACCGGAAATCCTGTGGAAGCCGAGAGTGAATGAACTACACAACACCAGAGTGCGTCAGCGAGGGTGCGTTAAAGACGCACTGGTGTGCGTTGCAGGGGGTGATGAGGAACCTGGTGCGTCGGTACGTGACCAAGGAGCAGAGGAAAACGGACGAGCGCGTCATCAACGAGGACGACATCAACGAGGTGAAGCATGACATCAACTCCTTCAAGTACGAGGTGCTCAACATTCTCAAGATCAACAACTGGGAGACGGGCACAGCGCACCACAAGACTGAAGGTCAGTAACCCGTCCTCCCACTTAATACATCCCATTTCAAACCGGATTTCGACCAATCCATCAAAAAAGCGACGTGTTTGCAAGAATGAAAGCGCCGTAATATCGACGTTTTCTATGCAGTGGTCTTGATGCACAACAGTTGCAATTTTTACGTAGTGGTAAATCGAAAGAACGAGTGACTGTGTTAAGAATATAATAATACAGGAAATTGGAGAAAGCCTATTGACCCGCATGAGGCTTTACACCAACTCTACTCTATGTCTATTGTGCTACCCGGCAACTTTATAAATCGATGAATTTCCAAGACAATGTTTACCCAGATCTTGTATTTTTTTACCCAGATCTTGTATTTTTTTACCCAGATCTTGTATTTTTTTACCCAGATCTTGTATTTTTTACTCAGATCTTGTAATTTTTTACCCAGATCTTATATTTTTTACTCAGATCTTGTATTTTTTTTACCCAGATCTTGTATTATTTTACTCAGATCTTGTAATTTTTTTACCCAGATATTGTATTTTTTACTCAGATCTTGTAATTTTTTACCCAGATCTTGTATTTTTTTACCCAGATCTTAAATTTGTATATATATATCTAAATTTATCCAATTTGTTTCCACTGTTTTGTGAACTCATGAGTGACATTCATTCTTCCTATATATATTCAAATCACGCCTCCCTAAATACTACACTCACGAGCCGCAAATACAAACACTTACTAACAGTTCCAAAACACCGAACCTAAACTATGCATGAAAATATAATATATAATAATATTTATATCATTACGCAGTGCGTTAAAATTGCTGAATTCGTTTTTTAATGTGTTGTGCGCAGGTTGGATGAGCATAACCAGAGGAGGAAGGATGTAAAATACATACACAGCTTCCTCGATAACTTATGATGTATATATTTCTCTTTGAGCGATTCACAGCGCGTATATTGTTACTTTAGTGATTTATTGCTCCAGCGACTGTTAATGGCTTCTACCTCCTGACGACCTGTTGACCCCCCTTGCCCCCCCAGGAGCTCTGGGCAAGAAGCAGCAGACGAGGGAACGCAGACTCCTCAAGGGCTTCAACATTGGTCTGGTGGAGGGTCTCGACATCTCCAACATGGCCGGAGTTCAAAAGTCTCTCAGCGTCCTGGAAAACTTACATCTCAAGGTGGGAGGACAGTGTCAGGGTGACGGGGGGGGGGGGCAGTGCCTGGGCGAGGTGATGGAACAGTGTCAGGGTGATGGAACAGTGTCAGGGTGATGCAACAGTGGGAGGGTGATGGAACAGTGTCAGGGTGATGGAACAGTGTCAGGGTGATGCAACAGTGGGAGGGTGATGCAACAGTGGGAGGGTGATGGAACAGTGTCAGGGTGATGGAACAGTGTCAGGGTGATGGAACAGTGTCAGGGTGATGCAACAGTGGGAGGGTGATGGAACAGTGTCAGGGTGATGGAACAGTGTCAGGGTGATGGAACAGTGTCAGGGTGATGGAACAGTGTCAGGGTGATGGAACAGTGTCAGGGTGATGCAACAGTGGGAGGGTGATGGAACAGTGTCAGGGTGATGGAACAGTGTCAGGGTGATGCAACATTGGGAGGGTGATGGAACAGTGTCAGGGTGATGGAACAGTGTCAGGGTGATGGAACAGTGTCAGGGTGATGGAACAGTGTCAGGGTGATGCAACAGTGGGAGGGTGATGGAACAGTGTCAGGGTGATGGAACAGTGTCAGGGTGATGGAACAGTGTCAGGGTGATGGAACAGTGTCAGGGTGATGCAACAGTGGGAGGGTGATGGAACAGTGTCAGGGTGATGGAACAGTGTCAGGGCGATGGAACAGTGTCAGGGTGATGGAACAGTGTCAGGGTGATGCAACAGTGAGAGGGTGATGGAACAGTGTTAGGGTGATGGAACAGTGTCAGGGTGATGGAACAGTGTCAGGGTGATGCAACAGTGGGAGGGTGAGGGAACATGGTTCAGGTGAGGGAACAGTGCAAGGGTGAGGCGGTGTTCCCTAAAGCTTTAGAATTTAATTTTAGTTAAATATATTATTATTATTATTATTATTATTATTATTATTATTATATAGAAGACTAGGATGTGAAGGTAGAGGGGTGATATATAGAGATATATAAGAGTAGAGAGGGTAGTGACGCCTGGTGCTCCCGCAGGGGAAGAAGAAGAGGGACTGGAACCAGATGGTGCGCAAGAGCGTGAGAGACCGGGACCACATCGGCTCCAGCAAGACCAGCAATCAGCGGCAGAGTCTCAGGGCGTGTACCCGCAGCAACAGCCGCACCTGGAAATCGGTGAGTGAGAGGGAAGATGGGAAAGGAAGGGACTGTGAGCGCTGGGAAGTACAGGGAAGGGTAGCGGTGAATAGCGTGGCGAGGATACCTTACCTTGAGGTTACCTTGAGGTGCTTCCGGGGCTTAGCGTCCCCGCGGCCCGGTCGTCGACCAGGCCTCCTGGTTGCCGGACTGATCAACCAGGCTGATGGCTAATGCAGGATGTGGTGTTGCTGTTGACAATAACGCTTCAACAGGATGATACAACGCTTGTGGTCCAATCTGTCCTCTTACAAAGAACGTCGCTTTTCGCTCGTATGCGTTACGTAAGGCCAAAAATTGTCGTACTGGAAAATGGAAGCGGCTGGCGAAAGTGACGTACTGGCCCCTTTTCTGTTTTGGGTCCCCCTGGTAGGTTAGGAGAGGACACTTTAAATTGACCGTTTTCTTGACGTTGGGGAACCTTAGTAGGACTTGCTGATTGGTGACACAGTTCCGGCGTTCTATGCAAATGACACAGCCAAGAGCTGACAAGGAGTTCATCTGTGATACATCTACAAGACATGGAGGTGACACACAGACAATGTGACACAGAGGATGACACAGACAATAAGTTATATCAACTCAGAGTGACAGACTGAGACAGTGCAGGTAACACGTGATGAGGGAGACAGATATTGACAGGCAACACGTGGTGCTCCGGGTGTCACGGACAGATGACACAACTAGATATGATGACCAAACCACACACCAGAAAATGAAGAAACGACGACGTTTCGGTCCGACTTGATAATTACACGACTTGATAATGGTCCAGGACGGACCGAAACGTCATCGTCTCTCCACCTTCTAGTGTGTGGTCTGGTCAGCCACGTTATTGTGACTCATCTTCCGACACGACTAGAGGTTGACACAAGGAGACACCTACACAGGATAACATCAAGCGTGACACACCCAACATGAGACTGTAGCATTTAGGATGTTGATGAAGGAAGCCTTCAGAACACTACATGCCACACGGACTCCAGTCCCGGCATGGAACTCTACCTGCAAAAAGATAAAGCCAAACTAAAAAAAATGAAGCAAGGCTCGTGTCATAACAGTAATAAGATAGACAGTGGGGAAAAGGTTGAAGAAGCTGAACGCTTGAAGATAAGCGAAATCGAGGGGACATGATAACGACATATAGGATTCTCAGCGAAATTGATGAGGTGGGAAAAATATAAGGCGCTGTTAAGCATAGTTTAGGGTAGAACAAGAGGACGTGGATGGAGACTTGAGGAGCAGATGAGTCAGAGAAATGTCAGTAACAATTTGTTCACGATAACCGTAGTGAACAAGTGAAATGACGTAGAAGGAGAGAGAGCAGAAGCCAACACAGTAAATAGTTTCAAAAGTTGATATAACAAGACACATGAAGGTCTAAACAGCTGGCGTATGCGTGCTTCAGGACTTGTGCTTCACCCTACAACCAAATTAAGGGAGAACTCGAGCAGTGAGGGACTAGTATATGTTGACACAGAGCGATAGAGACCGAGGGTGGGATAGAGAGCAATAGAGACCGAGGGTGGGAGAGAGAGAGCGATAGAGACCGAGGGTGGGAGAAGATAACATCAGAGAGACCCAGACAACGGGGGATATCCGCTAGGGCACTCAGTGATAAAGATGATATAAATTAGGTTACAAACAACGTCCAGGATACAGTAGCGAGGCGAGATGATGACTGTACCAACACATCCGGCGGGTAAAGAATCAAGATAAAATAACAATAACGGGAGAACAACGGGACAAAAAATGTAGCAGAAAGCTCTGCTTTCTTCAAAGTGTGTGTGTGTGTGTGTGTGGTGGAATTCCTTGTAAGATGTCCTAAATCTTTAATATTTGACAATAAATGTTTTAATACATGTTTAAAATAATAATCATCTTGGCTCCATAACAAGAATGTGACTGTCGCCCTCTCCACAGGTCCAGTTCTACCAGAAGCGTGGAGTGTTTATGGGAGGAGAGATCAACCCCATTATGCTCAACGAGGCTTCCAAGTGCCGCAAGACTCAGGTCAGTCTCCTTGTAGGTGTCACGTGATCCAGATTTTGTGGTGTTCCTAAGTTACGGTCAAATACAACAGTATTTTATTCTTAACTGCGTTCCACCCTCTTCCTTTGTCATTCCTTACACGTATTCTTCCATTCCCCAGCATGCGCGGAAGTACGGTCGGGGATGGCGCGCTCTCCAGAGCATGCAAGTTGACGGCGACTTCACTCGGGACGGTCTCGAATCCAGGATTCGAAGTGCGTCTTCAATCAGCGACGCCTCTCCCTCCTGCCCCTCCGTCAGTATGCAGCCTCCCACGCCTCCCGCCCACTCCCGCAAGCAGCATGAGGAACCAAAGAAAAATGAAGAGACCCAGAAGGTCTCCAGTGAACGAAGGAAATCAGTTCCCATTGGCTCGCTGGACAAGTCTGCAAGCAAATCTTCGGCGGTGACGTCATCCGAGGCAACTGCAGCAGAAGGTTCCAAACCCTTTGAAGCCCCAAAACCATCTGAATCCCCTAAGCCATCTGAAAGTCATAAGCTTTCAGCTGCGCCAAAACCATCTGAATCCCCTAAGCCATCTGAAGGTCATAAGCCTTCAGCTGCGCCAAAACCATCTGAATCCCCTAGACCAACTGGTGTTCCGAAGCCAGGAGAATCAGATCGTTCTAAATCCCCAAAGCCACAGGCGGCCAGACCCTCCCCTTCATCTAAACCAGACATGTCTGAAGCTTCCGGCGTGTCGTTGATCACCAAACAAAAGAGAACAGGATGGTTGTAGTGCCGCCACACACACACACATATATATATACATATCGGGCCAACCCATACCCTCCCCAAATCACGCTTCCCACCCCATGCAACTGCACTTTCCCTTCTACCCCACATTGCATCCAATCCCATCTGCTCCATCCCACCTTTCAATGGCTTCCTCCACCTCTCCGCTCTCAAACCCCGCCCAATCCTCGCCCCTCATCTGCACCTCACCTCCCATATGACCTCCCCTCACCTTACGATCCTCCTCACCTCACGACCACCTCACCTCTTCACTGTCCACAAAACCCTTTCTCTTCCCCCACTTCCATCATCGGTCCACAAAACCCTTTCTCTTCCCCCACTTCCATCATCGGTCCCCACCTCCCACTTCCCGTCCTTCTAACCCAAAATCCACACCTACCCCTGATTCCCCACCCCCCTGCAAATCCTCTGACTAATACAACCTATCTCCCACTCACACCCCCATGCTCCATTCTCCCCTCTTCCCCCACCTCTCAACCTCTATCTGACTCTCAGCCTCACTCTACCTCTCAAACTCCCTATGCCTTTCAGACCCATTATGCCCTCCTGACTCACCCCCCCCCCCCTTAGCTGCCCAAACCCCTTTCGCCCCTCAGAGAAAGGGTGAACTCTTATACCAGAGTTTCCAAGAAGAATCTCAAGGTTTGGTACGCCAATGCTGATGGGGTATCCAATAAAGCAGAAGAAATAAAATAGAGAGTGAGGCAGATCCTGACATAATTGCAATAGTGGAAACTAAAATAAATGACATGATCTCGGAAGCAATGTTTCCAGGGGGGGGGGGGTACTAAGTGATAAGAAAAGAAACAGAGACAATGAGGGGGAATGGCACTCCTAATAAAACGGAAATGAAAGTTTGATGATCTTAAAAATCGGGGTACTAATGAACACACAAGCTCCATACATGGAACTCTGACAGCAGATGGGAAAAAAGATTGTGATCTTGATAAACAGTAGAAGGGCCCAGGCAGGAGTATGATGACAACAACAAGGCATGTATAGATGAACTACAGAGGACAGCAACAACAGCTCACAGAATGAGAGCGAAGCTGCTGGTCATGGGGGACCTAAATCATGGAGGGATCAGTTTCCTGACACAGCATGTGAAGGAAGACACAAGGGGAAGAGGAGGGATACAGAGCCTATAATAAAAAGTATCAAGCGCCTGCTATCCATAATAGACCCATTCACTGCCCTTTATCATTGTTTCCACATGTTTGAAGAGGTAGATAGGCAATATTCGTACTTGATCATGCAGATCCGATCAATATAAGTGTATTGATCCCTGTTGAGGCGTTGAATGAAGGATTAGAACCTGGCCAACGTCAGACGCAGCACTACAGAAGGTAGAGACACTGCCAGAGAGGTGAAGACAGGCTTCCAGGGGTAGAGAAAGGTTCCATAGAGGTAAAAAAGGCTTCCAGGGATGTAGAAAGAGGCTTCCATGTAGAGATAAGCTTCCAGGGAAGTAGAAAGAGGCTTCCAGTGAGGTAGATAGGCTTCCAGGGAGGTATAGAGGCTTCCAGGTAAGTAGAGGGAGGCTGCCAGATAAATATATAGTTATTTTTACGCCCTTTTGTCTTGTGTACACTTTTGACATAATTGTCGCGTCTTATCATTTATCTTTGTCATTAGTCTTCATTGTTGTATTATAAATAAATAAGATGAAATATTTGTTGTTATTATTTATTCCGGAGACCAAAAGATAAAAAATGGTTGTTAAACGATTTGGCGGGTCGTATTCCAGGGAACATGGGATTAAGGACTTGCCCGAAACGCTATGCGTGTTAGTGGCTGTACAAGAATGTACGAACTCTTGTATTTATAAATAAAAAATATAAATAAATAAATAAAAAATAAATGGGAGAATACTGGAGTGGATAAAATGTGGAGTGGATTGTCTCCTAAACAAATGGTTAAAACAGAAAAAAAGGGTCGTGCTAAATGGGAATGAACCTGACTGGCGATATGTGGGAGTCCATTTTGGGGCCAACCTTTTTTGTCATATACATCAATGACATATATGAGAATATTACGAACCATATCATCAAATTTGCAGATGACACTCAGATCTACATGGTAAAGTAGGAAGTGAAAATGATATTGAGACGTTACAGGTGCCCATTCACTGTTGGGTGAACAGAGGCTACACTTAAGGACTGATGTCCAGTAAATCCTCCCCGGCCAGGATACAAACCCAAGCCAAAGCGCTCGCGAAACGCCAGGCGAGTGTGTTACCACTTCGCCACGAGGACTGCCGTGGCGAAGTGTTAAAAATATAGAAGACAAAGTGAAAAGATCATCAAGGCAAAAGGGGGGGGGAGACCTTTGACACAGCTAAAAAAAATAAAATACAAAGAAAAGATCAGGGGCAAATGGGTGAACCATTGACAAGCCGCCGACTTCCTGTCCTCGTCGAGGTCACCAGTACTAGTGGCCCTCAGGTAAATTCAGGTAAATTTATTATGCTTGTCATACCCATCCCTGTGGGCGGTACTGGAAGGGGTCTTGAACTGTTGTTATTGTGACTTTCCTATTGGACAGCTTCCGCTAAAGGACCGGCGCCTCCACTTGCCAGACGCACGATTAATACGGAAGCATTTTTTTTTTTTAACATTTTAGAGACTTGAAATTCTATAGTTTGCTGATGATTATGGAGTTACCGAGAACTTATAAGCTTTTAAAGCAATGATAGAATATTTCGGCATAATTCTTGTGGCATTAAGAGCCAACGGTAATGGACTCTCAAATGAGTGCCAATGCACGAATGTTTAGGTTTATATATAAATAACTATAAAACCGGTTAGTGGCTTTATAAAAAAATTTATATATGCCTGCTATGTAAGAATTATACCTTACTCTCCCTGCAATATTCGTGCATAAATATATTAGTATTAATATTATATATGAGTCCGTACGACATGCTGTTATTAGCGGTGGTGCCAGCTGTTGTTACTATCGGAACATAAACATTGAAGGCGTTGGGGGCGAGTTATCAAGTTATCTCCTGTGGTGTTTACCGCTTGCTGGCTGCACTAGCCCCCACGGTGGTGCGTCTTGTGGTCATAAGGTAGTTATGACGTGACTCCGACAGAGGCAGGTGGGAGGGGAGAGGTGTGGAGTGAAGGAATGGCTTAGCTCTTGGTTTGGCTTCTTGGCGTCAGGGAGTCTGTCGGCGTGGAATACAGGAGGTGGAGGAACGCTCGTCTTTCCCCTCAGTTGGCCACTCTTGCAGCTCCACTTGCGGCCCCCTACAGGTGGCCACACACCTGCAGCTCCACTTGTGGCCTCTCCACCAGTTGGGCCACACACCTGGTGCTCCACTTGTGGCCCCTCCACCAGTTGGGCCACACACCTGGAGCTCCACTTGTGGCCCCTCCACCAGTTGGGCCACACACCTGGAGCTCCACTTGTGGCCACCTTCACCAGTTGGGCCACACACCTGGAGCGCCACTTGTGGCCCCCTACAGGTGGCCACACTCCTGCAGCTCCACTTGTACTCACCTAGTTGTGCTTGCGGGGGTTGAGCTTTGGCTCATTGGTCCCGCCTCTCTCAACTGTCAATCAACTGGTGTACAGATTCCTGAGCCTACTGGGCTCTATCATATCTACATTTGAAACTATCTTCTTCTGTCTTAATCCTCATAATCTTTGCATCATCAGCAAACATTGAGAGGAACGATTCTATACCCTTTGGGAGCTCATTTACATATATATATATATATATATATCAGAAACAGTATAGGACCAAGGACTGAACCCTGCGGGACCCCACTGGCGACGCCTCGCCAATCTGAGACCTCGCCCCTCACAGTGACTCGCTGTCGTCTGTTGCTTAGGTACTCCCTTATCCAGTGGAGTACCTTCCCTTTCACTCCTGCCTGCATCTCCAGCTTGTGCACTAGTCTCTTTATGTGGTACTGTGGCCCCCTACAGGTGGCCATACTCCTGCAGTTCCACTTGTGGCTCCCTACAGGTGGCCACACTACTGGAGCACCTCTTGTGTTCCCTTACAGCTGGCAACTCTCCTAGAAGCCCACCTGTAGTCCCTTCAGTAAACACCACCACTTGTTGTTTTTGTTAGTTGATTGAAGGACAATGACTAACCTAGACATATGGCCCCTGTTGAAACGGTTCCTGGTATGAAAATCAAATGGGAGACTATCCTGAAAAAAGATCCACCTGTAGCTGACCACATCACTTGTAGGACTCCACCTGTAGCTGACTAAACCACTTGTAGTACTCCACCAGCAGCTGACCACATCACACCCAGGAGCTAGTCAGCTTGTTGTGGGAATGCATCCTGGGGAGAGTCGGTGCTCCCTAGGATGGCGTTGCTGGCGTCAGTCTCTGGAATATGGAACTTACAATACCTGGACTGGACCTGCTTGCAATTTCACTATTAGAATTACAGTATTTTTATTAAGTTGATAACAGAGGTACTGTATAACCTTATTTGTGGTTCACTCAAGTTTGGGCCTGGAAAGCTTAGAACCTTACTTTTTGATACAGTATGTAGTTGCCTTGCATCATAAACACTTTCCTATCATCTCCCGATATCACCAATGAATGTATACACCTAGCCAAATCTACATAAACAAAACAATGGTGGAAATGTCACTTAGCTAGTCGTTGAAGTGGGGAATGGATTTACACCAATTTGAGGTCCTAGATCATGGTAGCAATTATAATAAAACAAGCATGTTTGGCCTTGATGGTGACATAGGTGTCTCCTTTTCACACCATCAAATCCTAATGGCAGCTCGGCCGCCTTCCCCCTACCTCCTCCAGTGTGAGGGAGGCTTTATATTTTTTTATTTATTCAGAGCATCAAGCCTCATTTATACAATCGAGCTATTAATATTGATTAGTTTTTTAAGAACTAGTTATTTATTTAAAATTTGCAGTATGCATATACTTTATTTGTAACTATTTGGAACAAATCAGTGCATCATTTAACATTTTGTGTGACAAAGTGGCTCACAGGGCATCACCTGGATATAGTCCCTACGCAGCTGTAATTAATTACGTATCATCGAACATGCACGTCTACTGTGCCAGGTAATCTGGCACAGGAGATGTGCCAGATTATGGGCTCGCCATAGCCGTGCTGCTTGGAACTTTTTATTCCCAGCAGCTGAATCTTAAACAACAATGTATTATTGAAACAGAATTTACATCTCGTAAAATTTATAACTTATAATATTTCATAATTAAAGGTTATTGATATCAAGTCATGGGTAATATTTTTCACAGGACAGTGCACATGATGTGCTCATCAATCAATTGGTCAGTTTAAGCACTTAGGTTTTCCAGTACAGTAACTGAATTTATGACAAGAGTTGTCAGGTTTGCCTTGTACTGTACTGGGGGACCTCCACAAAACCATGGTTTTTGCATTCTTTATTAATTCATTATTGAAAATTACCTTGTTATTTAATAAATACATAAAATTGTTCAGAATTAGTATTTTTTAATTAGATTTCATCAAATAATAAATTCATTCATTTTTTGTTTATAGTACTGTATTGTACATATAAAATATACCAGCAAGTAATTTATTTAATATATTTAATATTTTTTGCAGATTATGTGTGCCAAGGTGTAGAAGTTCATGGAACAGATGTGCTCAAAATGAATTCCCAAGAATTACAAGGCAAAGGTACACGTCTGTGAGCAACGCTAGGCTACCTCACCTTTTTTGCAGCTTCGTGCCATCGTTGACATAAACTGCCAATCTCGTTTAAAAAAAAATCACCCCTTGTCCACAGAGTTGTTCAAAGTTATTACCTGATGCTGCTTTGTGTAAGTGTCACATGGCAGGCGTATTTCCGTCGTGCATGCTGTGGGGCGTCAGCTTTGGATATTAGTGGCACGCAGCAATTAACTACAAATGCTACACTGTTTTAACACTTTATTCCACGTTTGTTTTGTTTTATTACAGATGTGTTTATGATTTTTGCTTAATAAGCTTTTACTGCTTTCCTTAGCAAGTGTTTGCAGATACATTTCTTTATTTTTTGTTGCTGAATATTTATGGTTTTATATATGGGGTTTTATTACAGTATTACTGTGCCACTAATGTACAGTGAGGCATATTTGTTGACTTGGTTTATCAAACCACATGGCATGACAAGTTCCATTTTTTTTTTAAACACAATTGTTTGATGGTTTTTCATAGTGCTTTGCATGTCACAAAAGGTTTTCCATTATTTATATATATATATATATATATATATATATATATATATATATATATATATATATATATATATATATATATATATATATATATAAAATATATATATAATAATAATAAAACACAACACTGCAAAATAAACTAAAATTAACAGAAATGGTTTTTGATCTGAGCATGCTTTCAGTTTAAACCCTGCGTCAAGTGTTAGAACAGTGAATTGAAGTAAAGGGCACATAACAGGAATCGGTCTGAATAGGACACTATAACAAGGAAAGAACACTGGGAAATTAATCCATTTTACTCAGATGGTTATGATTTAAAAGTGAAAACAAAAACAAGACAAAAGCATACTCAGATGAAATGTAATTTCTGTTCATTGTACATTACTTTATTTTGCATGTTATGTGACAAAAATTGGAAAAGGTGGAGGTATTGCTGTCCTTGTAATGGAACAACTGAAGGTAAGAGAATTAATATTTTACATCCCCAAAGAAGTCAACACAATGGCACTGGAGATCTGCAGTCAGGGTGATACTGATAATCATTATTGCCTACAACCCACCAGCAAACACATGGACTAATGATTGAGAGGCTATAGTAAGAGCAGATAAAGATAAATCATGATTGTTGATATTTGGGGGAATTCAATTTTAAATTAATAGACTGGAAACCCCCATGAAACAAGACATTTGGACTGGCCAATGTTTAACTTCATCCTGGAGAATTACAGGTATAAACATTTTAACAGGCCACGAGAATGTATTGTTCCATCAATGCTGGATTTGGTAATGACCAGGAGAGGAGGAGAGATGTTTGACACTCTGTACCTTCCTCCATTGGGCAGAAGCGACTGTCCTTTGGGAATGAACTTTAGAATGCATTATAATCTAGAAGAGAGTGATGAATGAGAAATGGTGAAAAACTTGATTTTAAGAGAGAACACTGGGGGATCTTTAAAAAATTTGATTTGGTTCTAATAAATTTGATTGGAAAGATTGTTGCAAAGAAGTAAATGAGTTGTATGATTTTTTTTATATATACTGTTCCACCTAGCAGCAAGTAGGTACTCAGGAGTTAGCCAGCTTGTTGTGGGGTTGCATCCTGGGCAGGGTCAGTAATATGACCTTGGGAGGTGGGGGTGGACCTCAATAAAAGTCTATCGTGTTTGAATACACTGGCTTCCTATTCCCCAACACTGAATTATTATTATTAGAGTATAGTAGTAGGCATCCATCAGTCTCAGGAGACTATAGAGTTGATCTCTGGTTGTCAGTCTGAGAGTGGCTTCTCCAGGGTGCAAAGCCAGGGTAGGTTGATATGGAGGAGAAGCTGTTACCCAAGCAGCAGGTTCCCCCTCTCCACGGCGCCGAAAGTCTCCAATGGAAAGGCTAACGCCAAAACGATTGGTTCCAGCGCCGTCGCAGGTACTGTGAGCTCTGGAGTTGACCTCAAAGTTGGTGAAAGAAGGCACAGGGACTCCAAACCCGGAGACCGCCGTGGACGGGGCTGGAAAAGAACCACCCCAGCAAGGGCAAGAACGACCCCAGCCTTCTGAAACGGAGCCTAGGCCGTACGAGTCCCAGGAGGCGGACGTCCAAGTCCCGCACCTACGGGTTCCAGACAGAGATCGTCACAGCCCTCTTTCACCCGAGGCCGGCTTCCTTCAAGACCAAGCAGAAGGAAGAGTGATAATTATTAAATACAACAATTATTATTATAATAATTATTATAATAGTTATATAATTAATAATTAACACTTCCTTGTGCACCCCCCAACTACCACTTAAAGATGAATTATCCTTCAGTTCTCTGTGACATGACCTCCCTATGTAAGACAACAACATGGGTGTTGTTGGTCTGTACTTTTGGTGTGTGTAATATTCTTTTGGCTTGTATCGACGTCCCCCAAGGTCGAACTACTGACCCTTCCAAAGATGCAACCCCAAACAGTTTTGTAACTTTTTTTTGTACCTTTTTACTGCTAGGTGAACAGAAGCATTATTGAAGAGGAAATGTGCAAAACCGTTTCTGGCTCGCCTGGGAGTTGTACCTGGGATTTCCGATTGTGAGCAAGTCTAGGACGAAGTCAACTGTACTACGAGACCTTGCTATGTGAATGTAATTCTGTACTATTTAGCAAGCCAAAAAGTACAGACCAAATTTGTTTTCCAGTGGTGCCTCTCTGTTACATTGTAATCTTTGAAGGGGCAGAATATCTCCAACAAAAAACTGTGGTAGTAGATTTTTGGTCTGTACTGTATAAGGATAACAAGTAGGTGCTGTAAACATAATGTATCTATAATGATACAAAAATGATGGTCAAGGTATATTTCTAAGACTATCAGGCCCACTCCTGTATAGTTACACTGTACTGTACTTTCTTAAATTCAGAATATTTCTAACTTAAATTTCCTTATGTTAATGGCTTGCACCTCCTCGTTTTTTCTTCCAACTTAAAAGTTTTTTGTACAAAATTATTTAAAGCTTATATTTCAGTGAGGCAACATGCATCATCCTAAAAATGTATGCATGCATTTTGCTTGATAACATGACCCTTCAAATGCTATATCTTACATGTGGATGAAGCTTAGCGGGCCATGGGGGTTTGTGGGCCAATGCTTCTTAGTACTGGTACTGTACCCTGTATAGGACTCCATATAAATATTGACATCTACCTTCCATTCACCTGGGATGTAAGAGACTCAAGCCGCGGACCCCACGCGTGTTAGACCGAAGCTCTGTTGACCTATAGAGGTTCAGCCTCACACGTGTGGGGTCCACGGTGTGAGTCTCCCAGAGCCCAGGTGAAGATAATGTTTATTTCCAGGGAAGTGTGGATGACATTTTATTGTCATCTACATCTTTACACGTCTTTGTTGTGATTTCTTGGGCAATTTAATGACTTTTTATGATGCATTTTGTAGTGGATATTGTATATAAATAACCCCATCTTGGAGAACTAAAAGAAAAATTTGGTAAAGTCATTGACAGAGATTTGACATATACCCGTACTATACTGTGGCATTCCTTGTGAAAATTCACTGAAAATTAATTTTGTATGCAATTTTTTATGTTTATACACTACAATAGAGCAATTTGGAAATTTTCATATGCAAAATAAAGTAACAAGCAATAGTACACAGCTGTACAAATTTTAAATGTTTAAGCATACAATATCTGCAGTGTCCCTAATGGATATTATTATTTTTTTTTAGCCCCATGTTTTCCTTATTCCAGTATGACTAAATTAAACATGGAAATTAAAAAAAAAAAAGTTTTGCCAGTGCAGAATATAAAGTTACCTGACTGTGTATTAATCTTGAAAACAGCAGGAGCTTTCTTATGGAGGCAGCTAAATGCATTGTTGAGGAACAAGTGCATAATATACACTCAAAGCCTTACATTTTGTTGCTATTTGATAAAATACAAAATTAAAATATAGTGGTATCTCCGTTTTCGAATTTAATGCGTTCCCAGAGACGGTTCAACACCCGAAAATTAAAAAACTGAAACGAATTTTACCCATAAGAAATAATGTAAATTGAATTAATCCATTCCACACTCCCAAAAACATTCACTTAAAAATATATTTTATACATAGTACAACTCATACTTTGTACTACAGTATATATAAGTGCTGTATATCTTGCCTTTATTGAGGACTCCTGTTGGCATATGGAAGACGATGAGGAGGAGGAGGAGAGGTGTTAGTGTTTGGAAGGTGAGTCACCTTCCATCATAACATCAGGCAGTGATAACATTTCTGGGGTATACTCTCCTACGTTTTGCAGGCATACCACTAAGACCTGGTTGTGGCTCACTGCTTCCTTGTCTTACTAAGAATCTGTCTAAAGAAACTTGTTTTTCCCTTCGTTTTAACACTCGTCTGTAGTGAGACATTACATTCATTCACTATGAATGATCTCTTGTTTTTCCTGTATTGTCATCCTCACAGCTATTTTCTTAGGTTGAACTTTACCACTGACTTTCTTGGGACCCATGGCATGATGTATTATAGTTACTTTGATGTTCAGAAACCAAAAAAGCACAAAAAAACAACGAAATTCTTCTCAGAGAATTAAAGTGCTGTCGTCACTAGGCGGGACACACTGGTAAACTGAGGCACTCCACACACTTGGTCAACCCATACGTGTATCAACCAACTCGAGAAGTGAGGCAAACCTCGAATACCGAGTAAAAGTTGATGAAGAAATTGAGCTCGTCGAAAACCGAAAAATTCTAAAAGAAGGGCATTCAAAAACCGAGGTTCCATTGTACTGTATATAAAGAGAAACAAAAATTTGGCACTGAGCAGCTCAACAAATGTCAAGTGATGAAGATTCATGTACATGAACAATTTGCCAGTGCAATCAACTTGAGCTGTCTTTCAGGGAGGGTATATCAGTGCACTCTGCAACACAGTGTTAGTAGTCTTCAAATTCGCGCATTTTTTTATTTGAGGA